GAGCCACCCAGGTGCCCCACACTTCATTTTATTTCGATATTTACTTTATTGCAGTGGTCTGGAACTGAACCCACAATATCTCCGAGATATGCTTGTATTGCTTTATTTGTTTTATTTTATTTATTTTTTGTTATTTTATTTTATTTATGATTTATTTATTTAAGAGAAGGGGGTGCTGAGGGAGAGGAGAGAGAGAATCCCAAACAGACCCCACACAGAGCTGGAACTTAATGTGGGGCTCATCCCACAACCCTGAGATCAGGACCTCGAGATCATGACCTGAATCGGTCAAAACCAAGAATCGGTCGTTCAACAGACTGTGCCACCCAGACATCCCTGCCAGTATTACTTTATTTTATTATTATTATTTTTTAAGATTTTCCATTTTTCAACAGAGAGAGAGAAAGACAGCAAGAGAGGGAACACAAGCAGGGGGAGTGGGAGAGGGAGAAACAGGCCTCCCGCTGAGCAGGGAGCCCGACGCGGGACTCGATCCCAGGATCCTGGGATCATGACCCGAGCCGAAGGCAGACGCTTAACGACTGAGCACCCAGGCGCCCTGCCAGTATTACTTTAACCCTCATCTTGAGGGTTAAATGAAATAGCACATATAAAGAACTTAGAATTGAATCTGACACACTGTGTGATCAGTAAGTGTTAGTCAGTATTAATATTATCCATGGCTTTTGAATTATATAAAGCAATGACTTCTCCTTTTTGCTTACACTGGTTTAAGTTGGGTTTCCATCACTTGCTACCAAAAGGGTCTTACCTAATACAATTAACCTAAAGTATAAAGTCCCAGAATATACGGGTTTATGGCAGGCCAAATTCCTTTCTGTAGGCTGAGGCAGAGAAGGAGGATTGAATTAACTGAATCTGGACCATCTGGCTCCTTTTAGTTGATGTCATCAGTAATTTTACCTGAGTAATTTTTCCAACTCCTGGTTAGGAAAAGTTTTCTCATACCATCTTATTTATATTCACTAAAATCCTCCTCCTTCTATGTTGTCGGTTAATAATATCCTGGTACGATTATTTGTTTTTTATAAAAATACAAAAAGTGGGGAACCACACACTAGAGAGAGAAAATGAAAGAAATATTTCTATATTTCTATAATTAAAACATTTTCTATTGTTTTTTAGGTCCTTGGCCTTAAGCTGGAAACTTTTTGCATACTAGTTTAGAGTAAATAATATTATAACTAAGCAGTCTACGTGCTAAATCGCATACTTTCTTGGTGTAGATTTCTGGAGGGATATGCAAGGGATTTGCATGTTTAATTCCCATTAGCACCTGTCACTGGGATTTATTATCCCAGAGTTAATTCTCCACTCATTGCAGCCAAGAAAAAGGAAGCCCTTGTACATGGATTTAAATGAGGCTTTTTATTTTTCAGAATGAGATGAATTCCATGTTTGTTCCTCAAACACCTGCAGTATTCCAACCCTGAAAAAGTCATATTTAAATTCATTTTTGGTGAAAATTTCCCCAAACTCGAATTTATGCAATAACTAGAAAAGCCTGTTCATAATTTGAAATTTTGTCTCAGAGAAAAAAAAGGTTTCAATCAAGGACTTCGCTAGGTTTTAAAATTCATTGGCTCTCATTCTTCCATTCAATATTCAATAGATATTTATTGACCACCTATTATGTGCCGGGCAGTTTTCTAGGTTCTGGATACAGAGTGGTGAAAGCACTAGGAAAAAAATTCCTCCCTTTGAGGAGCCTCCATTCTATTGGAGAGTATACATAAATACATATACATAAACACATACACATAGGCATATACATACACACATATGTATACGCATATGCATACATACACACATACACATACATAGATGTAGACATGTATATACATGTACATACACATGTTTATATAAAAGAAGTGCTATATGGAAAATCAAAGCAAGTGAATGCAATGGAGTGTTAAGGGGTATATGATATTTTAGGTTGTTGGTCAAAGAAGATCTCTCTAAGCAAGGATACTTGAGGCCAGATTTAAGTGAAGTCAGTTAATAATCCTATGCTCAGAAGCTTATGCAGCACTTCATTATCTATTTCATAAAGAAAAAAAAAATTCAGGCAGAATGTTGGTACACAAGGCAAGTTCCATCTGCAACCATGGATTGTAGGAAACTCTCCTGCTTAATAAAGCTGATCCATTTGCTGGTACTTTTCCTGTCCTTGTTCTTGTGCTCTCACTCTCCCCTCTGTTTTCCACCTCATTTCTACATGCCATTTCTCAAACCATTCTCCTGCCCTCTTTAGGCTGAATTTCAGTATTGAACTACTTTTTTCTTCTTGTCTCTTCCTCTTTCCTTCAAAGAACTAATTTCATGCAATATCTGTCCTTGAGCACTTCGATGTCCCAAACAAGATTATGTAACAATTTAATTCTATTTAACTAACTAGACTTTGAGGATTCTTTCCTACTGAGACTTTTTGACAATCAACCAATATTGATTGAGCACCGACTATATATTGGGCTCTGTCCTTAAGAGCTGCGGATGAAATGGTGAACAAGGCAAACTCTCTGCCTTAAAAAGAGTGAAATTCTAGCTAGAAAAGATAAGCAATGAAATTGTAAATGAATAAACAAAAAACTTTTAGATATTGCTACTATCACTATGATAGTGAGTATATGTGAGGATTTCTTAGTAATTAAGCTGCTGTCCTTCCTGGAAAAATTGTAAAGACAAATATGAAATATAATCATAAGTCCTTCTGGGGGTATAATCCTCAAAATAAATGATGGGTATGAGCTGCCTAGCTGCACTGTCCATCATAGTGGCCACTAGCTGTGTGCCTATTAAAATTAAATTAATTAATTACATTAAAATCCCCAATTCATACTAGCCACACTGCAAGTGCTCAGTAGCCACATGTGTCTAGTGACTACCTTTGGGAGAGCATAAATGGACATGTTCCTCATTGCAGAAAGTTCTGTTGGACAGCATTAGTCTAGATAGCATGCAGCTGATGAAACTCATCCATGGCAAGACTAGCAGGTAACAATTTTGTGTCAGGCACTTCTCACATCTTTAACTCATTTCTCGCAGAGCCCTATAAGATAATTACTGGTACTAGACCTATCTTACAGATTAAGAAACTGAGGCACCTAACTTTATTTTTCAGTATCTGTCAGCTAGTCATAAGAAATGCTGAGAATTGAACCCAGTCTGGAGCCAGAAGCTACCCTTTTACCAAAAGATTGTGATATCCTGTATGGGTAAGGGAAGGTGAAGAGGGTAAAGAAGAGATTTTAGCATGACAGGCAGTGCCTCCGTGGGAAAAAGAAATGGTCAGATTTGTCAGTGTCTTTGCCAAGTCTGACCTTTTCAGATCTACCGGAATCATTAAAGACAGGTCTTATTGGCTAGAGGTTCAGATGGAGCTTGGCAGGCAGAATCATGGAATGCTAGCACTGAAAAGAACTTTAAAGCCATCTAATGAAATATTTCACAGATGAAGAAACTGAGACATGCAGTTTACCTGACCTGTCCGGGATAACAGAGATCACAAGCCTCCTGTCTGTGTGTGTGTTTACACATTGCCCCCTTGGCACCAAGAGCTTAAAATTTCCCTGATATATTATTTATTATTTGTTTAGAAATGTACTAATCTTAGGAAGTGGTTTTCCTCTTCCCAGAATGTTGGACTGTCAATGTGTATCGACCTTTTTAACCCATCCACTTTTCCTTTTGTCTACCCTGTCATTTTATCCACCCATTCTTACATTCCTCCTTCGTCATTACAAGAGATCCATAACCTAGCTACCCAGACTAACTATCCTTTCCTTAAAAAATTAATTAATTAATTAATCAATTAATTAAAAAGGTAAAAAATTCATAGCAGTTTGAGTCCTTACACCGTTAGGAATTTGAAAAACATGTCATAGGTTCCACCATCACTTTAAGTGCATGTCTACAAATTTTGTTATTTTGTTGTGCATTGTTTTTGGGAGTTTCCGTGCCAGGTCTCACCTCACCACCCTTTACATACTCAACATTGCCAGCCACCAGGATGCACGCAAATAAAGCTCTTTTGAAGAATGAGTTTTCCTTTAGCTTTTGGTTTCTGTTCCACTATGGAGAAGTCATGGGCACCCAGAACACTGAGCAGTCTGAGTGGCGCTGACGACCCCAAGATTGCAGCAGGGTTGGGACACACACTGCAAAAGCTTCTTGCCTTCTTCCCCACCACGCAGGACTTCAACTCGAGCCCGCATCCAGCTTAATCAATCGCAAGACCCCAAGTCAGTCGTAGAGCGAGTCCAGTCCCGGGGAGTCTGGCGCAGGCTTTGCTGGCGCCGTGGAGAAGCTGGCAGGCGGCGGGCTGAGCTCCAGTGGACTCAGCCAAGAGGCTCGGGGCGCGCCCGCTGCGCTCCTGGAGTCCGAGTCTGGCGCACCGCGGGAGGCACGCGCGCTCCCACTCTCCGCAGCCGCCTCTGCTGCCCTCAGGGTTCTCTCGCCCAGGCTTCCGCCGGTAAACCAACAGCCGGTCTCCACCTCCGGCGCCGGGCGCGCATCTCCCTCCAATCCTTGCTTACATAACGCGGGCGGGCGCGCTCCCGCCGCCGCTTACCCCCCAGCGGAGTTGGGCTGCGCCCTCCACGCCTCCACGGAGAGCGCCTCCGCGCACCCGTGCGCCCCAACGCTAGGAGGTGACCCTCCTTGGCCACCCAGCAGCGGCAGCCTGGACGTCCCTCCGCTGGCGTGAGCACACTGAGATTGGAGACCCGAGAGCCCCACTGTGCCCAGCTCCCTCCCTCCGCTCCCACCTCCTCCCACTTCTCGCTTCCTCTCCCTCCGCCGCCTCCCGCCACCCCCCTTGCCTGTGTGCGTTCGGCACAGAGGAGGGGACCCGGAGAGCAGTCCAGGCTCGGCGCGCGGCGGAGCTGCGGCTGTTCCTGCTGCTGGGGGGAGCGGCGAGGTGGCCGCCTTGCGCCTCCCCGGACTTCCCAAGTGGGGGCAGAGCCGCAGCTCACCGAGCCGCCAGTTAGAAGGCACAGGGAAGGAGGGACCGCCAAACTCCTCCTCAGCGTCTCCTCTCCACCCCTTTTTGGCTCCTGCCCTTGGAGAAAGTGGAGTGTGGCTCTTGGTTATCATTATTTCTTCGGACTGCTTCGTGGTGCACGGATTCAGCTGCTTCCCAGTGGGGTTTTCCGCAGTTGGCGCGTCTCCCTGTGTGGTTCTGGCCGGCACACCTCTGTCGACGATGAGGAAAGGTCTACGGGCGACAGCGGCCCGCTGCGGACTGGGACTGGGTTACGTGCTGCAAATGCTCGTGCTACCTGCCCTGGCCCTGCTCAGTGCCAGCGGTACCGGCTCGGCCGCTCAAGGTAAGAGACTCCGCCAAGCTCCGCGGCCACCTCCCTTCGCTTCTTCCTTCCCTCCTCCTTCCACTCCTCCTCCCCAGTTCTCCTGCCTTCCTTAATTTGCCTCGTTGCTTTCAACTGGAAGTCAGTTCACGTTCCTCTTTCCCAACTAGTCAAGAAGCTTTGGTTATTCTTTTTAATCCATCTTCCGAGATGGGCACGGATGGACCAGGGACGCACACGGGGTGTGGACCTACATCTGTCTGTCTCTGGGCATGTGGGCGCCTTTTGCACTTTCTGCTCCACACTCACACGTTGTTGCATATTGGTCACACAGAGGTTTGCAGCGACTCTCGGTGCGGATGGCTGGGTGGCATGCCATAGGTACACCCTGATGCGCAGAGGCTCCCCGCGCTGAGCATAACTGGGGTTGCGGGATCTTCAGGGCGTCCCTGAGCACGTTAGACGCCGACGGGCGCTCAGCGAAGGAAATGTGTCCATTACCGCCGAGGACCCACCAGCTCCGGTGCCACTCTGCTGCTGCTTGGGGCGCTGTGGACATGCACAGCGCACCCGGACCCGCCACCCAGCCAGCGGCAGGCCTCGGGGGGTGCACGCCTCCACACTCTTACCCTTTCCGAGTCTTCCTCCCAGTAAGCCGCGGAGAAACTTAAAACCCCAGAGCTCTGGGAAAACGGACTGGTTGTTCAAAGAGCAAACTCCCCCGGGTAATGGGCCAGTTTATAACTCTGACAATTTAATTTAACGCGCCTGAGCTTTAAAATAAGTGACCGGGGCCGTGGGCAAAACAGGGGTTGGGAGAAGAGCGGTCAGGAGTGGAGGGTGGATAAGGAGGGAGGGGAAGCGCGGGGGCTGATTGTCTTCTTGTCCCCCGAGTTTGAAGCGGTAGCGGCAGCTTCCAGCCTTCCGAGCCCAGGAAGCCGAGTGGAAGGGAGAGGGTTAGGAAAGAACCAACGCTGCCCCCTCTGGGGTCTGTTTCGCGTCACCTGGGCCCCCAACCTTGTGGCCAAGCCAGCGCCCACTTCGGTCTTTTCGACCAGTTTTGTGGAAGTCGCTGGCTTAGGGGAGGCAGCTGTTTTTTCCTCGGGCGGGGGTGAAGGAAGCTTATGCAGCATTCGGAGGTAAATTCAGGGATCCCATCATCTCGGTTACACTTCTTTCCAAATTTGGAGAGCAGAGGAGGTGCGGCGATAGCCTCGAACTCCCGGGGCGTTGCTCGGACACTGTGGAGGTTCCCAGCTGCGTTCCCTCTGATTTGCGAAGGGTCTTGGGGGAGAGGGCGTTGGAGGTGGAGGGGAGCGCTGAGCGTTAGCGAGTGTGGTCCGAATGAGGAGGTAAGTGATTAGCAAGGCTTTGTGAATTAGTGATTGCTACTTCGGGAGTAAATTTTCCTGCTGCCTAGCTAAGTAGCCACGCTCATAAATCCTTCCTTCCCTTCTTACCAGATGCCTCCCATCCTCGAGGTTCTGCCCTGATTTTCTTATGCATACTTCCAGAGCTCATCTGCCTGTCCATTTTACAAAGGAATCGTATGAACGTGTTGTAGATTTCTTGAAATTGGTAAGAAGTTCTCTGGGTAGCAGCCAAGGGTGTTTAGAGAGGAGTGTTTGGAAGTTTAAGCGAACAACCTGATGAATAGTCGTGAAATCAATCGCGTGACTCCCTGTGGGATTCGCCTACTGTTATTGGGCGCACAAAGGACCCAGCCATGGGGTGGGGTTCAGGTGGGGGTCGGTCGGGGGAGGACTGGGCGGTGAGAGAACCTTTTGGGAAAAGGACAAGTTAAAGTCCCCAAAGATGCCAAACAGAAGCTATAGGATTCTTGCCTAGAGCTTACTACAGCAACATTAAAAGGACTGGGTAGGAAAAAAAAAATCAATAAAGATAATCCAACAGGAGATTGTAAGTGGATTAATATTGAAAGAAGGGAGAAGAGATTAAATGAAAAAAAACCGCTCAAGACAGACTGAGCAAGCTAACTGTGCCACTTGCACTTTTTTACAGACCAGGCAATCCAAAGATGGGGCATTGAACCTGCTCCTCTGGTCTTAAATGGAAAAATAAAATGTATTCTGTAGGGTATATGCATTTCAGTAGTGTTCCTCTCCATTTAGTTTGTTTAGTTATTCCAGTTGCTGGTGAATCGACTGTTTGGATCTTATGGTCTCGAAAGACACTATACTCCCACTTTTATTTTTGTTAGCCTCCATGTTTCAGGACGCCGGCTCTTCCTGTGTTGTCTGTTAGATATTAAAAATGTAGAAAACACCAAACTCAGCTACTATCACTAGCACTCTAACCCATTTCCCAGCCTGCTTACTATTGAGACGCTAGTACACTTTCTTCTCAGAATCACACTTTTATATCAGGCTGGCGTTCAGACCTCCTTTTCCTTCTAATATCTTCTCTTTTCTCCTCCCTCTTTGGACTAGCACACTAGGGAAACTGAAGATACTGTTGCTTCCTCAGGTATGATTTTCATGTGTTGAACACTTAAAGATGGAAATGATCTATTTTTATGAATGGAACTACATATGCAATTAAGATGAGAAAGTTAATTTGAGGACTTGACAATGTGGATGAGATTTATTTATTCTGTTGTTAGAGAAGTACTAGAAAAATTAGCAGTTTTAAGAAACTAGTATGTCTTCAGAGGTAGCCCCCCCAAACACACACACACACACACACACACAAAACCAACAACAGATGTTTAAGATGAAAAAAGAAGCATAATAGGTATTATTTGTGAGTGTACTATATTTTCTAACGGTAGTTTAAATGAAGACAGCAGTCATTTTAGTTAGGTCCTTGGGAGATTCTCCAGGCTTTAGGCAACAACTTTCTCCTTTCTGGCTATGCCTTAATTTTTTCATTCAGGATTGCCTGAAATTCCTAGCTCCAGGGGGAAAAAAAATTGTGTTGTTTCTGACTTCCAAGAATGAAAGATTTTAGTAAGTAAAGAGAGAGAGAGAGAGAAACAGAGACAGAGAGTGTATTTGATCAGTGTGCCTCAGAGTTAGTGCCCTCCTGTTTTAGAAATGCATTTGTTTCTGGATTATCACAGCATTGATATTCTGCTTATCTAGCACCAACTAGTGTTATGAGTGTTAACATCACCAAAGTCAGAAGAGAAAATTAATGAAGACTCTAATCATATTGAGACTATTTGCTATTACCAGAAGTTAATTTATGATGTTTTTTAAACAAATACTTCTTCCTACAAAAGAGTAGAAACTACTTTCATGCATTTATGCATATTGCTGTGGTACAAATAGACAATTGGCACAAAAGATAACTGAATTTCATTACAATTATATCACGTATTTTCTCCATTTTAGGAGCAGAGTAAATTCATAAAATCACATTTGGAATTTGCAGTAAGGAAAAGTATCCTTGCTCAAGGAATGCTTAAAATGCCTCAGAGGACAAACTTTTCAAATCCTTGCAAAGAAGGAAGAACTATTAGATTGTTAAAATTCACTGATTCCTTAGTCTTCTTACTGTGGATACTGGGGATTCAGCATTCAACAAGACAGGTTCTTTGACTATCTCCCATTTTAGTCTGCGAGCTGGATGTCCTGATCAGAATTCATCCTGATCTTTTTTAAGCAACCCCCCCCCCCCAAAAAAAAAAAAACGTAAAGGAGGCATGAGCTCCACCAAGGCAAGCCCTCCTAGCTTATTTGGAATTACTGTTGAGACTTAAAAATAACTGTGCTCTAATGTATGCTCCCTTCTCCAATTGGTGCCAACAGCCAGAGCGTGCTCTATTAGGCCTGAACTGCATTTAGCACTTTTCTGATTTAGGTCATGGCTTTGCTGGAGCAGCAGAGGGAGTCACTCTCAGAAGGAACATTAAAATTACAGGCTGCAACCCCTCCATATATATACAGGGGAAAAGAGTGGGGGTGGGGATTTAGCCAGAGTCCTTGCCTTGTGATTTTAACCTACTTTTTTTTTTTTTTTTTTTTAGTTTGACTTTTGTATTTGTGGCAGTTAAAAACAAACCTGGTTACATTTCTCCACAAATTAGAAACCTGTTAGCTCCTTGGGATAGTGTATGATATTAGAAGTAAAATTCTAAACAAACAACTGTTGTGCACTTACTATGTCCCAGACTGTGCTCTATTTGTCAGGGACACAATGTCGAAAGAGACAATTTCAGCCCTCAAGGAAGACAGACTTAGAAGCATATAATTATAATGCACTTTCTGAAAAATAACAGTCAGCATAGGTACAGTACTTTCTGGATTCAAGTATCAAAGATAGTGAACATAGGTCAGGGTAAGGTTCTACTGGGAGTAGTGGTGGGGTTTCCAAAATTTCTACACAGAAGAACTTAAGGATGGCAATGTGGTTTGAAGTGGGATGTTCTAATGCCGTGTTAGCATTGGAACTGTCTAACTTATGTTAAATCTTAGTTAAATTTAATGTATATTTGGTCTGGCTTTGAGGAGGCACAAGCTAAGTGTTGTTAGTTGTATGTGCCCATTCTGCCGATTGGCTTAGTGTTTATCAGTGTCCCCTAATCCTGCTTCTACCACCTCCTAATTCTGTTCCTATGGGTGAGTTATTTAGCTTCATTTGTGCCTCAGTTTCCACCAATGTAAAGTAAAGATAATATATACTACCAGTCCTATTATGATTAAATGAGTTAATACATGTAAATTGTTTAGGGCCATGCCTGGCCCACAGAAAGTAAACATTATTCTTTGGCTTCTAACTCTGTAAACCACTGGCAAAGAAATCTAGAAGGTAAAGAAACTAAAGGTCAATAATTTTGAACTCAGACTAGGGATTACTGCAGACTCTGCTTCGCCAAAAGCAACAAATGAAGCTGTCTGAGGAGATGTCCCAAAATAGATCACTGCAAACTCCTGGACAGTGATGTGCATGGTTCCTTGAACAGTCAGTCAGGGGGAAGCTCTCTCCCTTCATAACCCCATTTCTTCCTTTCTGCTTTTTCTGGGAAAATTAACCTAATGCCAGTTCTAAAAATTCCA